CGATAAATGGGTATGATATATGATATGGTATAATATGAATGCTTCATGTTTGCTGATTGGCTGCGGTTGGTTTGAATGCCAAATTTATTTTATTTTATTTCAAAAAGTTTATTCAATGCTCATAATATCCACGTGGATTTTTTTGCTCCTTGGGAAACTAATGATAATGATAATCAAATATGTCATGAATGTCATGTGGCATTCAATTAATTACATATTTTTTAAATTATATATGGGCTAATGTGGGCTGTTATATATGGTTTAAAATACATGCTTTTAAAATATATATTATAAATAAAATATAGCCTATAATATACAGCACCATTCAAATATGTCAGTAAGATTTTTTAATGGTTTTGAAACAAGTCTCTTCTATTCAGTAAGGATGCATTTATTTGATCAAAAATACAGTAAATTTACCATTTGAAAGAACCGCTTTCTATTTGAATTTATTTTAAAATGTGTTTTTCCTCTCATGCTATAGCTCCATACTCTAAGTATGAGTGTCACATGATCCTTCAGAAATCATGCTGATTGCTGCTCAAGAAACATTTCTTCTTATTATTATTATAGCTGGCACTACCACACTGACATAAAAAGCAAGATTTGAAATTTAATGGACTATAACACAGATATAAATCAGGACAGCACTAAAATAGTAACTATTTTGAAAATGAGGAGCATATGTTTCCCATCTTTCTACTTAGTATTTGTAAGCAAACTTTGAAATAGTCTCACAAAATCATGAAATATAGTAAAAGAGGGCTTACATTTCTTCCATTTGCATGTACCAAAATTACCATGTCCACTATGTCAGAAAAAAAGGAAATTCAATAGATTCTCAAAAAACAGGGTATTTTCTAAAACTAAGGGATAAATATTGGGATAAATAAGGCTAATTGAAAACATCCAAGCATATCACAGCAGTAAACAGGGTGTTCAAGATTTCCAGGAATGGAAGAGCAAACTAAAATCTCTTCTGTAAAAATTGCCCTATGGATATATTCAAAATATGGAAGTCTCTTCAAATTTGGATCAACAAGGTTTATCAGATCTCAACATCGCCAAAGCTGTAGCAAAGAAAATCACCAACATGCTTAAAAACTCTATAAATAAATGTTATTACACTTATTAAAAAAAAAAAAAAAAAATACTGTAAAAAAGTACTTCACTGTCTTTTTTGATCAATTTAATGGATCCTTGAATTAAAGTAATTTCTTAAAAATAGTAATGACCCCATACATTTGAATGATACTGTAAATATAATAACAGTCCTCATTATAAACACAAAATAATAATCAACTTTAATAGTAAGTGAAGACAATTAGACTACGTTTTATTTGATTGGGGGCGGTGAGGGACCTGGATAATGGGTAGGGGGCACTGGCCCAAAAAAGGTTGAGAACCACTGATCTAGATGCATATTTAACGTTTTGTGCACATGTGCAGTGCATACCTGTGATGAAGGCAACCAGAATAAGCAGCAGGAGACCCAATGGCAGATCGGCCTGACTCAAGGAATATGGCAGACCTAGATGAACATTTAACCAAGAAATAAGAGATGTGGAGGACTCGAAATAGATACAAATGTGACAACTAGCCCCAGTCTCCCCTACAGGGAAAGACCTGCTGACTAACTATTTTTTTCTGATCAAGCAGGTGATAGAGCACAAAAATAGCTACTGACAAAAACGCATAAATTAAAATGTATTGCTGACATTTTCTGGACCCAAAGATATGTCATAGGACTAGAAAAATATTATTTTTCTCCTGCAGCAGAAGCATGTGAACTGACTGAGGCTGTTCTGCAGTCATATGATCCTGCACTGCATGGAATCTAAGCCAGTTCTCAGATCTACTGACTTACTAAAATACGCACATATGTGACTAATAAGAAACTAATGAACATGATAGCATCCAAACATCAGCAAGCATGCTTTTGACTCTAAGAATTTTTATTGGTCTTATGAAGTATTCTAATTTGTTGAGATAGTGAATTGGTGGGTTTTTGTTAAATGTGAGCCAAAATCATCACAATTAAAAGAACCAAAGACTTAAACTACTTCAGTCTGTGTGCATTGAATTTATTTAATACACGAGTTTCACAATTTGAGTTGAATTACTGAAATAAATGAACTTTTCCACGACATTCTAATTTATTGAGATGCACCTGTATATACTGTCAGCCAAGAGTTATACAGTCATCACACTATGAAATAACACAAATGAAACTATGGGAATTATGTAGTGACCAAAAAAAAAAAAAAGTAAACAAATCTATTTTACACAAATTTATTTTATCTATTTTTTATATATTAAACTTAAAGTTCACATGTACACTTGATGATGCTTTTCCCTCAACATCCACTTCAACTAATCAACTTAAAATAATAATAATAATAATAATGATAATAATAATAATAATAGCAATAATGATAACAATAATGATAATGATAATAATATCGATAATAATAATAGTTTTGTAACCAAATTTACATATACAGTTTACATTTGTCAACATGTTTTTAAGATCAAGAGGAACATATATTCAGTTCAGTGTGTCCAAACTTTTGACTGGTACTGCCTGTATGTATTTATTCATTTTATATGTATGTTATTTTCTAGAAGCATTGATAACAAAAAAATACCTATAATTCCAGATCCTATAATGGAATTGATGAAATTAACTGAAGCCGAGGACACTGAACTAGTTTTCCCCATGTCCTTATGTGAAGACAACAAACAATCCCTGTCACCGTCCATCTGTAAAGACAAAAACTCACATCAGCAGAATGTTCAATATGTTCAATCTCATGAATGATCAGAAAAAAATGCAAACTCACCTGTTGAACAGTGCCGCTTTTCTCTCTTTTGTGGTTTTCCATTAAAAACAAGCCTTCTGAGATGCCCTGCTGCACTAGATGGAGGTTCCCCATGTCATGGACTCCAGCAGCAGTAAAAGTGCTCCACCTGATTCATTCAGTCCACCCACAGAATAAAAATACGCCCCTTGTTGTGTTTAAGCATCGGCTGCAGGCTATTTGAAAAGCTGTTTCTGCATGAAGAACTTAATCTGTGTTTGACACACAAAGCCACTTAAACCATATTATAGCTGCCGGACCAACATTTGCTCAACAGTCTCACTTTATTGGGAAATAGTGGAAAGTAACTGAACTCGGTACAAATGTAACGAAACAAAATGCACTGGGATAGATAGATAGATAGATAGATAGATAGATAGATAGATAAACAAAATGCACTGGGATAGATAGATAGATAGATAGATAGATAGATAGATCCTTGAGCAAGTGTCCACAGTCTTCCTGAGTGTGAAACAAAACAATGCACAACTTAGATAATTAGATACATAAGGTGCATCGGGATATTTTATGTTATGTTATGTTATGTTATGTTATGTTATGTTATGTTATGTTATGTTATGTTATGTTATGTTATGTTATGTTATGTTATGTTATGTTATGTTATGTTATGTTATGTTATGTTATGTTATGTTATGTTATGTTATGTTATGTTATGTTATGTTATGTTATGTTATGTTATGTTATGTTATGTTATGTTATGTGTTATTATGTTATGTTATGTTATGTTATGTTGTTATGTTATGTTATGTTGTTATGTTATGTTGTTATGTTATGTTATGTAGTTATGTTATGTTATGTTATGTTATGTAGTTATGTTATGTTATGTTATGTTATGTTATGTTGTTATATATTATTCAGTAAAAGCTTATGACATTATTTTAGTTTACTATTATTGAATGTGGTTAATCAAAAGACTGATTTTTATTCACTTTTAACTTTTTAACTTTTGACCTTCTGTTTTACCATCTGCATTGCTATTGGTGGTTATTGGTATTTTAAAGTACAACACGGATTTAAATAGTTCAAGCAGGCTGGTAAATAAACAATATGTGTTAATTATATAGCTTATGAAATGTAAATAAACACAAGACAATGTTAAAAACGCTTCTGCTTAAATGTTGAAGTTGAAATCACATAAGCAGTGTTTTGGTTTCATCACCTACGGAAAATGTACGTTTATGAAAAGAAAAGGGGAAAAAATGGACTAGGTGAAAATAAAATCCACTAGGTGGCGCCATCAGGCTTCGCTGTCCTCGTCTGAAGCGTGTGACTGACGTTTTGAACTGTCAAAATGCGCTGGAAGTTACTGGAAAATTTATTAAAATTACAAAATTTCTTTAAATTTTCAAAACTATGACGTTTTTATGAACTCAAGTTACAAAGTTTGTGGTAAAAGTCTATTAAAATATACCTTTTGCAAGGTGAATTTAAAGTATATTCTTGAAGTGCTTCATAGGAAGATAATTGTCATTTCTTTACTACATCACGTTGATATTTTACAGTAGCCTACTGATGTTTTATTACAGAAAACATTAGATAAGGTGACAAACCTGTCTTTGAATTGGTCTTTTTACCTCAAGTCTTTTTGACGATACTGTCAATTAAAATCTAACAGTATCTATAGAGAAAGAAATCAAGACAACATACTTGTCTGTTATTTTAATTTTGTTGTAATCTATTTTGTTTTGTCAAAATGTGCGTATTTTAAGTTAAAAACAAAGGGTGGGGCAAACAAGACATCCTCGTGACAAATAAAATAAAATATGAAAAATAAAAATATCTATATTAAATCAAAGTTCTGTCAAGTTCTGAACATTTAGGACTCCTCCTATGGCGAAGGTAAAGTGTTTAACATTCATGAGAGAATGTTCTCCATTGGACGGTTAAGATGGAACGTCTGCACAGTTTAATTAATATTCATGAGGCAAGCCATTGCCAACAGAAGGTGAACGTTGGCATGGCGTACTTAATATTCATAAGCCCATCCTCAGGCATAGTAGGATTAGTGATTTCGTTCTGTATCTAATGAATAACCGGAAGCGCTCATCTCTGTGATCTCAGGCACTTCGCTCTCTTTGATCAGTCTTCTGCGATTTTTTTCTCTCGCAGAAAATCCCTTGGAGTTTACTTAGGGTAAAGTTGCCCACACTTGTCTGTTTTCCTCCACCTTGTATCACTGCATCAAGTTTTGCTCCTGGGCGCTGAGGATTAATTTTCCCCTCGTTTTGGCAACAATTCCGATTTTTGCTGGAAGATGGTGAGTGGCTCATGAAGTGCTGATGAAAGCTATAAAAAAGTTATAGTCAATAAAAAATGCTTCAGGTTATAATTGAATGCAAATAACAATACCATGTCTGATGCATTGAAGAGTTATGTCTAACCAGGATTTTAAAATGAAATCTGAGGTAGTCTAAGCTTGTTTGTTATTATAAAGTAGCAAAAGTCATTAACATGCTTTGGTTTTAGATTATTTTCTCATTCGGTTGACAGTATGCAATGTAACGCACTCCTGTTTTTTTTCAGTGATTCATATAAATAGCTTAGTTGGCTGTGATAGGATTACTTTTCTATTTCTGTATTACATACAGTAGCCTAAGTCATTGTTGTCATAACAGCATCAGATGCAAAAGAAAAAAGTTATTTACATATCTGTACATTGATTGATTTGTTTGGTTTTCCGACATCCATTTATACATGTCCGCACTGGTCTAGACTGCGCCACAGGTTTTGTGCTTTAATTTAACGTAGAGCATGTTATAATACTTCTAATGCATTTGATTAGCGCACTGTTGAAACGCCTATAATCTTGAAAACAAATTATCAAAGCGATCCTCTTCTGCTAGTTTTTATTTTCACGCCTTGGTTTTTTTTAAAGACATGTCAACTGTCCTAACCCTGGTTGACGCCCTGGAAATCCACTCTTCCAGTGATTGATTCTTGAATCTGAGGTGGAAGAGATGCCACAGGATAAAAAAAAGGTTAAATCAGCTCGCACGGTGTTTTATTTTTGTAGTAGACTGCTAAACCGCGTTTAATTTGACTTTGGTAATGAACCATGTGCAGTTCGACTCATTTCCCGGAATCGGTTCTTTCGAACAGTTCAATCTGAATACCTCACGTAATCTCTGACATTCCGTCCTGGCATATTAGTATTACACGACCAGTGAAACCATATGAAAGCAAATTTACTCAGTTTCTGCCTGGTTATAAATACATAATAATAAAATAAAAACATAAATAATAATAATAATGTTTTTTTTTTTTATTGTTTATTGTAACTTCCAGTTCCAGTATGTTTTAGATCCGATTCGGCTCATACAAACAAAAATTCAAAACAATTCAAACAAAATTCATTTGCATAAAATAAAATAAAATTGATTTACATATTTTACATCAATGCATGTTTTGTTAAATGATGTTGTAGTGCATTGGTTTATGAGTAAATGAGACAAAACGGTCATACAAAGTCGTAAACAAACTTATTCCCGTCAATCAAATTTTCTTCAATGGAAAAGGCTTTTACTATCAGTTCACTCATATGAGTCGGTTCAATGAGTCGTCGATTTATTGATTCGAAAATTAATCTGACTCGACCGATTTTTTGGGGAATTTTTCAAATCGGTTTGGTGAATCAGTTCATTAAAAAGATTCGACTCAAAAGTACGACTCGCTTCGCTTCGCTTCTCTTCACTTTCTCAGCAATTGATTCGTGTATCTTTGGTGCAAGCGTTCATTCAACGCTTGTTTTATAGAGAACTAAGTTTTATTTGACCGCAACTGATTGAACAGTGGTTATTCATGAAGAGAGTAAGGTATGGATGGTCAATCGTCAGAAAGATTTGATTACAAAGATTAAAGTAATTTATCGCCCGCAAGTGCATCCAAAATCGCCTCATAAATCGCTTCATGCAGGTTGGATTTAATAAAAGAAGGCATGTTCTTCTGTTTCTTCCACCTCAGCTGAGCACAACAGTCTAGAAGGCGCCAATTTAAATTAAATCAGGTATTTCTCCGCAGTCAGTCATAATATGAATTAAGGCTTTCTTCACCAGTTACATAAGATGAGGTGGACTACTGATGTGGACAACAAAAGTTAAGTTATTTTATGGAATAATATCAATATCTGTCAATTGTGCTGGTCCAGGTTGGGCAAAAGTTAGCAAAATACAAGTTTTTTCTTTCTTTCTTTCTATTTCAGAGTGAATATTCATTGAGTAAAAACTTTCAGGAATTGATTAGATCTGGAAAAATGGACATTACATACCAGCTTCAGTGTCACATCACATGATTCTTCAGAAATCGTTCTAATATGCTGATTTGCTGCTCAAGAAACATTGCTTATTATTATCAAAGTCGAAAATAGTTGTGGAAACTGTTTAAGAGGGTAAAAGAGTGCATTTGTAAAGTGTACATTTAGCACCGATATCGGCACTGAATACTATAATATAGTATATTATGAATATTATATTATATAATCTGCATTCTATAGAGCTTTTGCAGTGGCTGTTAAGATTGAAAGAGTTGTTTTTCATTCAGTCTATTCTGTTCTGTTTTTTTCGCATAGAATCAGTAGTAAAAAGCATTATAATCTGACAGGAGGTATCATTGAATATGGGCTGTTAGATCCATTACTGAGCATGGTTTTGCTAAGTGCTCTCGGAGGTTTTTGGTTTCACTCCAGCATATATCCACACTTGGGAAACTTAATGTTTTTCCTCACAAGGCAATGGGAAACACTTGAAGTGCCTAACATGATGGCTCTGATTGAATCTGTTTGTAGATGTGGCTTCACTTTTTGGTGAAAAAACTCAGTCTGTTTTGGACTGTGTGATGACAAACAGAGAGGTGGGGAGATTTGCATAATGTAAACCAAATTGTTCATTCAGACAAGAATGTCTGAAACAACTGCTCACATTGCTTAAAATAAGTACAGGTCAGAAGGAGTGTGTTGTTTCATTTTTACATAAATGTATAGGTTATGCAGAATGATAGAACATTATTTCACCCATATTTTGACATTTTATTTTCACAACAGTTATTTGAAACAATTAGACACTTTACTTGCATTTAATGTACACCAATATGGAACTCATCTGACCCATATACTGTATGTATGTATTAGAGGTCGACCGATAGTGGATTTTACCGATACCGATAGCTAGCTTGGACAACACTGGTCGATACCGATTAATCAACCAGCGCAGAACCTCAGAGAAATCATAGCCTATGGGGGAAATGTCAATAGAACAGAATTAATAAGCATCAGTACTTCATAGCCCTCCATGTGAGGGAAAACAGATTGAGTGTACTGCATTCAGTACAGTATGTATATGTATATGTGACCCTGGACCACAAAACCAGTCTTAAGGCGCTGGGGTATATTTGTAGCAATAGCTAAAAATAGGCTACATTGTATGGGTCAAAATTATTGATGTTTCTTTTATGCCAAAAATCATTAGGACATGAAGTAAAAATCATGTTCCATGAGGATATTTTGTAAATTTCCTACCGTAAATATATCAAAACTTAATTTTTGATTAGTAATATGCATTGCTAAGAACTTCATTTGGACAACTTTAAAGGCGATTTTCTCAATATTTAGATTTTTTTGCACCCTCAGATTCCAGATTTTCAAATAGTTGTATCTCATATATATATATGTGATGCCTAAATTATATGATACAAGTGATTCCATGATACTGTATCATATAAAATCAACTGATTTTAATTTTTAGTGCATCATTTCTAATTCATGTAGACAATATCGTTTCAATTCTAATATTAGACAGTGCTGGTTTTAAGCCATGATAAAGAATAATAAAATAATGATACATACAGAGCTCTTCTTGTCATTCCGCATCACATTACAGTCTAATGCTCATATTTTTTGTTTGTTTCTTTGTTTTTCTTGCTGCCCTGTCAAATTTCTATAGAGTTCTAGGATGGCACAGTGTGAGAGCCGAAAAATGGTTTCTACAGACTGATAAAGAGCAAATCAACTGGCCTTTGGTCTGGCGGCTTCAGTGTCTGTTGTCAGGTGTATTTGTCTTGCAGAGGAGTCAATATATCATGAGGAGAGATTAGAGGCTTTGAGCGAGAGTCAGGTTGCTGTTGTCAATGGTAATCGTGTGATGAATATCATGTGTAATTTGGAGTAACCTCAGCCATCGTTTAGATGTTGACCCGTGCCTCTGTTTGAAGTTTATTTTGGCTCTTGTTTGGGGAACCAGGCCTGTCAGTCAGTTACTCGACCTCTAATTAAAATGAATGGCGAGTCTGCTGGGAGTACAGATGTGGTCAACAACCTGTTCATCTCTCAGAGGACACGATGTACTACTTGCAGATAATAATCTGGATTTATTACATCCTTAGAGTGCTGCTGAAGATGGCGACTGTTGCAAACTCTTCATGGTTGGTAACAGGTGGGCCAGTTGGTGGGCCAAAGTAACATAATGATGCTGCCATCTTTCTGAGGTAATTTTTACCCTCCTGTAATTCGGTTCCGAATCTAAGGTGAAAATTAGCATTTTGACCCCCCTCTACAAAATAGTGGATTACTCAGTAAATATACATCGGTGGTAGTGTTGTCAAAAGACCCGGTACTTCGGTACCAAGTCAGTACAAAAAAAATGAAAACGTTACAGTACCAGGTTTTTCAAAAGAGCTCTTTAGCTCCGCCCATTCCCATGAAGCACAGCGAATGATGCAATCATTCCCTATGCCCTCAAAATACTTAAATATTTGTATATGCATATTTTGCAATAAACAATATATATTGTTTCTCTAGAAACAACTAACAGTAACAACTTTAAATTAATAGTTTCATGTTTCACCGTCATTTTTATCCATTATTGTCTATCACAATGCTTCATGGGATTGCAGTTCTTTCCCTCATTAAAGCCATTAAGTATACAGTCTTGCACCTTTGACTTTTTGTCCGATTTTCAAATATCTTTTTGCTTCAAATCATAGTTTTCCTCAAAGTTTGTTGGATTGGTTCATGGCTTATAATGCTTTAACAAAGACTTTTTAAAATCCCTATCGAAAAAAAATGAATTGGAAAAATACTTCTGGAACCAACACCAATTTTTCTTGATCATCTAAACATTTAACATTCTCTATATAGAGATTTATTGTTTGTTGTTCCGTTTAATTGTGTGTGTTGCCTTTGCAATGCCAAAACAGCTATTTCAGACATATCAAAACACTACTAAAATCAATAAATATGAACTAGATAATACAGCGGGCTGTAGTTTGTAGTAGGCTGACAGAGGTCCGGGGCTGTTTTTAGTCCCAGTACATCCCTGCCATTACTAAAAGCACACTGAAATGCAATTAATCATTTGTCAGAATGTCGTGTCCCAAGTGATGTAGAGGGAGTATGTTGGCTTAAATTACAGTATCCTGCAAAGTACCATGAAATGGGCGATGATCCCTCCCTGCTATGTAGCTGCTCCCTAAGGTTTTGAACTAAAATGAAAAGGAAAAAATAAAAGTTCACTGTACATTCAATGTTGAAAGACTGAAGCATTACTAATCATTTTTTGCCCCATTTGATAGGCTATTGATGACATATTTTTTTCAGTGGGTGGTTGTGTGGCTAATCATATTTACTTTTGTATTACTAAAAATATGATATGTTTTAAAATATGGACCAACTCTCTGTAACAAAAAACAAACAAAAAATTCTCTCCAACAATAATTGTTTTTATCTCCATTTCTCCAGCTTTTTTATAGATGGTCTGCTTTATGGCCAATAGAAAAGCACAGAAGGAAAGTGCAGGACTTGTTTCTTCATATTTTTATGTCATTTTTTTAAAAATTATGTGGGAAATGGATTTGAATGTAGTATTAAATGGGGCCAAAAGGTTGCATTAACCAAAAAAAAAAAGTTTTTTATTGAGTTTTAAAAACGTAACACATTTATTAGTATAGATGCTATTTACTTAGATTTGTTTGTTTGTTTGTTTTGTTTTTTAATCTAATACAATGACATTTAGTGTAAGTGTCCAAATACTTTTTGGGAACACTGCATTTGTCTTGTTTAATCAGAAAGTGCAGGACTTGTTTCTTCAGATTGTTTTATGCCATGTTTTGAGAAATTATTTGGTAAATTTTGATTTTAAGCATAGTAAAATGTATTAAATGCAACGAAAGATTGCGTTAACCAATAAAATGGCATTTATTAAAAACATTTCCTAATCCCTACTTTACTATCTTTTGCACAGAACTTGATACTAATAGGGATTGGAAGGAAAGAAAAATGGAGAGAATTAAATTTTAAAGGGTCCCATAAAAATAGACCAGGAGAGAGACGTGAGTGAGGATTCGAGAAGATAAATGAGAGATTCCAAGTGGAATAATTCATGGGATATTGTTCATTAAGTTGGGTGAGCAGATTGCAAGACAGAATGTGTCTGTTGTGCTTTTGTCTTTCTGAGAACAGGATAAATCGAAAAGGCCAAGAACTGGAAAGAGTAGGCCTACAGTTCACATCTTACACTCTTAAAAACAAAAGTCCTTTATTGGCATCGATGGTTCCATGAAGAACTTTTGACTTCCATGGGAACTTTGCATTGCACAAAAGGTTCTTTATAGTGTAAAAAGGTTCTTTAGATTATTCAAATGTTCTTCACACTAAGAAAAAATGGTTCTTTTAAGAACTTTTCACTGAAAGGTTCTTCCTGGAACCCAAAATGGTTCTTCTATGGCATCAATGCAAAAAAAAAAAAAAGTCAGATAACTTAAGAGTGTAGATCCCAAGAGACATGTTTTTGTTTTTCATACTAAGCATACTAATAGTTTCCTCAATTTTGACCATTGTTGTTTTTCAACCAGGATTCTGATCTGCATCCTTTTCTTTCCAGCGAGACTGATATCTGAAGGAAATGATGTCTCCTCTTAGTGACCCGAAGACAGATTATGATATCTTAATGCAATTAGGAAATTATATCGGATAACGATTCTTAGTATTACAGAGGAAATGTCCCAGGACCAGTGTCTGGCTGTGTGTTTCTCACATAACAGGCTTCACTGTTGGACCAGGTTCTCCTGCCTGATTGAGATCTTTGCTGGTCTTATACTGTGTTTGGTTCCTGGAGTCAAATGGTCTCCTTTCAACAAAGTGCAGAGTTGGTTTTTCACTCTTGGAGGTAGGTGTGGCTGACTCTTAACTTTTATAAAGAATATCTCTTTGGATTTGAGACTTTAGTCTTTGCAACTTTACAGATCTTCTTTATGCACCAAGAGCTTGTAACACTCCAAAGAGAAAGGAAAAATTGAAATCGCATCATATGACCCCTTTAATGTTCAGGGTTTTCTAGTGAAATCCTATCAGAAGAGATGTTTTTCAGTGGTTAGGCTTATAGTGATTTATCTGAAATAAGAGAATCACGCTCAACAAACATATCTGTGATTGGCAACAATGCTCTGCGCTGCAAAAACACGTTGTAAATTGAAACCTTTGATGCTCTTCACAGACACTCACACAAATACAGGAGCGTTTGAAAGCAGCCGCCTGTCAGCAAATCGGTACTACCGGTACTGTGGAAAGGCTGGTATCATTACGTTTTTAAAATGTAGGTATTGACTTAGTACTGAAGTGCCGGTACTTTTGACAACATTAGTTCTGATGTTCTTTACTTTACAGTTTTCCAATAGTTGACTATTACATATTCCATAGTATTTGCCTGTTTGTTTTTCTAGAATTTTTACATGATTTGAGCTTAGGAAGCACTTAATTTATTCTACCATTGTCAGATTTTATTCCTGATTTGAAAACTAAATTTTGGCAAACAGTTATGGGATTTCTTACCCCATTCAAGTAGCTGCCTTGGGGAGTTACAAATATGGCTGCTTATTTGCAGTACCTTAAAGGGACTTTCTTTTTAAGCTTTTAAGTGATGCCCACCAATATTAGCACAGCGCCTCACTTTGACTTGGTGGGCTTTTTATTTATTTATTTATTTATTTTTTGTAATTGATCGGATGTACAGTTTTCCTGTTGCAGACAAAAATAAATAAAAATCCAATGGAGTGAATGTTCATAATGTTTATGCTTTGATTTGAACTTTCAGGCCAAGTCAGCATTTTGCCTTTACTAAAGCAATAAGCCCCAAGAAGCCGTGGTTTACAGTGAATTTATAACAGCTAAGGGGCGTTGTTAGGCACGACACGAAGCGGAGTATAAAACGGTTTATTCCATATATGTAGTAAGGTTTCACAAAATAAAACAGAGCAAATAAAGTGTAATGATATTAATAAAAACATTATTCTTCCACCAGACAATGTAGTTCCTCAGAAACGGTTGTGGTTGCAGCAAAGTGGTTGCCAAGCAACATCCAAACGCAGAAACAAAGAGGTGTATGTTTGTAGAGTAATTTACAACAGCCTCGAATGCGGCTCAACCAATCAGAATCAAGGACCGGAACTATCCGTTTTATAAAGTTATTTTTATTATACTTTACAGTATTTTTATTGTTAAAGAACATCTTATAACTTGAACTCCTCACGGAAATCCAATAAAATAAGTGGGTGGTTATGTAGTGATTATGGATTTGGCCTGGTAGTCTGAGGGTTTAAAACCTATGAACTAAATATGTATGAAGTCATCCTTTGTCACATGAGCATGATGTTTGCTCCAAATGCTGATCCAAATTAGCAGCTTAAAGGTAGACAGGGTAGGTGATTTGGTTCAGAAACATTTTTTGTTATGCTGTTTGAAAGTCTCTTCACATCCCCATATCAATCACTAAGTTAAGTGCTCTAAATGTATTTATATGTACTTATATTGTCTGTGGAAGTTTTCTCAGACATAAGGGTAATCTGACAGTGTTGCATTAAATCCTCCACCAACGCCGTCTCTCATCGTGTCGCTGGTTAGCCTCTGGTCTGCCTGTGCGCGGTCATGTGTTTTGGAGGAGGCGTGGCTTTGGAGAGTGGACGCGTTTCAGAAAGGCGGGGCATAGAGGAGAAACAAGGTTTTTTTAACCTTAAACCGCATAAACACATTTCATTACACCAAATACACAAAATAATGTTCTTTTTAGCAGCATCATATGACCCCTTTAAGTAAATTAAACAAATGAAAAAATTATATATACTATTTAGAAAAATAATATATCATTTAATTTAATTTAATTTGCTTAAAATGTATTTAAATGTAAATGATTTTAATAAATTAAATGAATTTAAATGTAAATGTAAAAAGTATATGTATAATTAAGTTTAATTTGTTTAAAATATATAATTTATTTAAATGTAATTATTTAATTAACATATATCATTCACTTACATTTAAATAAATTAAATTAATGTAATGAAGATTGTTTACACAAATTTAATTAAATTTACATGTATGCCTTTAGTGGATGTTTTTATCCAAAACAACTAAAAGTGTAAATGTATAATTTTTTTATAAGAATGTGTATTCCCTGTGAATCAAACCCATGAGGTATTGCTTGTACCACACTCTACTAGTTGAACTACATGGACATAAGCTATTAGTAGGTTTAAGGTCCTGTTTAAGTCGGGTGGGACTGAAAAGTATTTGTGTGGTATACATAACCCTGATTCCTTGAGAGCTCTGTTTCTGATAACTCTGATGGTTTAGAGTATGGCAAGGCATTTCCATCACTAATAGGATGCTGTTTCTCTTTGTGGTTCCGGAAGGATTTTATAGAAAGCTAACCATACAGTTACCGATCACATCTAATGAGTTTCTGTCCCTCTGACTCACTCTTTCTCTCTTTCTCTGTAGTTCTACCAGTTGTTTCTCATGCAGACGTGTAGAGAATCACTCTGAAGGTTCAGGATGAGAAAATGGCGCATTCGTTTACTCCACCAGGACCTAAAAGTTTCCGTAAGTTCACCCGTGAATCTCTTAAGGCCATCGAGAGTCGGATCGCTGAGGAGAACGCCAGGAAGTCCAAGGACAAGCACGAGAAAAATAAAGACGATGAATGCAGGAGGAAACCCAACAGCGGCCTGGAGGCCGGGAAAAATCTGCCCTTCATATACGGAGACGTTCCCAGAGGATTGGTGTCCACGCCACTGGAGGACCTGGACCAGTTCTACAGCAATCGGGCAGTGAGTTTGGATTTATATTTCTCAACGAACCCATGAGAGTCCACAGGCACTGCAAGGGGTACAAAGCATCACCCTGAAAACTGGGATTTAAAGTTTAAATCTTAGAAAAATGTAAAAAGAAAGACTTGGAAAGAAACTTTATAAATGTTTTTGAAATTTGAAACATGTAAAAAAAAAAGTACATTTGAGTAAGACTTGATTTAATATAAAAAGCTATTTCATGGTCAATAATTAAATAAGAACATTTTCAACAAATAATGTTTTCAAATGCAAATTAAGAAGAACTAAACATATTATATGTTATTGTTGTGCATGTTTTATTTATATATATATACTGTATATATATATATATATATATATATATATATATAATACGTATTTTTAATTATATATAATTTTTGTTTATTTTTATTTTTTACACACACACACACACACACACACACAGGTTTGTTTTTGTGAAAAGTGGGGACATCCCATAGGCGTAATGGTTTACTGTACAAGACTCCCACACCAGAATAAAGGACACAAAAAGCATTAATAGTTAATTTGTGCTTTACATTGAATAAATTAGACCAACCTTTAATCACTGAACAAATCTCCTGCTTTATTTTATGGCAAATATTTTTTATTATTATTATTTTTTTTACAATCAGATACACAGTCATAGAGATTCAGGATTTGAAGCCCTTAATTCTACTTCAGAATAGCACTTATTATCTTGATCTTAATCATCCTATTAAAATCGAAGGGAACACACTATATCAGTAAGTTCTCTAAAAGTAAGAAGCACACAATGAGTTGTATTAGCAGCTGTTTAAAAATACAACTTATAACGGATTTACATTACTTTTTCATTCATTTTACACACACACACACACACAGGTTTGTTTTTGTGAAAAGTGGGGACATCCCATGGGCGTAATGGTTTTTATACTGTACAAACTGTTTGTGCTATTGCCCTACACCAACCCTAGCCCTAAACCTACCCCTTACAGGAAACTTTGTGCTATTTCAGATTTTCAATACACTCCATTCTGTGTGATTTACGTTCGTTTGAAAAGTGGGGACATGGGGTAATGTCCTGAAAAGTCACCTTCTCCTTGTAATACCTATGTCATACCCTTGTCATTATACAAATTTATGTCCTCATTTGTCACAAAAATGCGCACACACACACACACACACACACACACACATATATTTATTTTATATTTATTTTGCTTACTGTTTTGCCCACCTTTAATGTATTCATCTTCTTCATCTCCCTCTTGTTTAGACTTTTATAGTAGTGAACAAAAAAAAGACAATCAGTCGTTTCAGCGCCGCTTCTGCCTTGTACATCTTCAGTCCCTTCAACCTTCTGAGGAGAATATCAATTAAGATTTTGGTACATTCATATCCTTCTCAACTGCTGAAACATGCAGATGGCGACTGTCTTGCTGTGATGGATGGGTCTTATGTTTTTACTGTTTAATCCAGTGGGTTTCAATTGATAATTTACAACCCAAAAATGAGTTGTAGGCCTGTTATGTTTGATTGGTAATAAATGCAAATAATTAACTGAAAATAACCATGATGAATCAATGTAGATGTCAAATGGACATGTTGTTCTCAGAAACCATTAACAAAATTACATAAGGTCAAAGAAAATATGACCCAAATGGCATTAAAGAAAGGTTTGCTTCAGGATAAACATACTTTGTGTGATAAATGGTAAGCAGCTGAGAGCCTGAAACTATGGCTTGATGACTTCGTGTCCAATGTAAAACCTGATCCTGAAGCAAAACCAGTTGAGAACCTCTATATGATTCAATCATTTATCAAAAAAAATCAATTTTAAATGGATTATCATCTTACTAGCTAAAGCCTCTTTAAACCTCTTTTACTCCATACTGCAGGAAAATTTCATTTCAAGTGTGTATTTCAGTAAGATTTGTTAATGATTTTGAAAAAATCTCTTCTGCTCACCAAGGCTGCACTTATTTGATCAAAAATACAGTAAAATCAGTAATATTGTGAAATATTATTACAATTTCAGATAACTGTTTTCTATATGAATATATTGTAAAATGTAATTTATTCCTGTGATGCAAAGCTGAATTTTCAGCATCATTACTCCAGTCTTCAGTGTCACGTGATCCTTCAGAAATCATTCTAATATGCTGATTTGCTGCTCAAAAAAACATTTTATTATTATCAATGTTGAAAACAGTTGTGCTGCTTATTATTTGTATGGAAACCATGATGCATTTATTTTTTCAGGATTATTTGATGAATAGAAAAATCAAAAGAACAGCGTTTATTTGATTTATTTTATTTTATTTTTTGGTAATATTATACATGTCTGCACTATAACTTTTGATCAATTTAATGTGTTCATTTCTATAAAAAAAATTCTTACTGACCCCAAACTTCTGAATGGTACTGTAGTTCTGTCACTAAGTTTCCTTAACTGCAGCTTTCACATTGTTCAGTATGTTTATAATGTTCACTATACTGGCAAACTGCGCTTTCATGGTCTACTCACAACCTCCAGACTGGGCCAAGAATGTAGAGTGAGTTGATCTCTTTGTTGCTTTTCAAGCATCGTGTAGAAATGTTCACTATGTTTGCTGAGTGCAGGAACTGAGGGTCTTGTTTTTAACAGATATGCCTTCACTGGGATATACACCTTTGAAGCACTCATAAAGATCATCGCCAGGGGATTCTGTGTGGGTCAGTTTACGTTCCTCAGAGACCCGTGGAACTGGTTGGATTTTATGGTTATAGTCATGGCGTAAGTATGACAAATCTGTTATTTACCCCGGCTGCACTGCTTTAAATTATTATAATCCATTTATTATCATTGCTTAAAGGTGGGGTAAGCTATTTTTCAAAAACGCTTTAGAAAACTGATTCGGGCCGACTAGCAAAACAAACTTGTAGCCAATCAGCAGTAAGGGGCGTGTCTACTCATGATGTGGAGGAGAGAGTGTTCAGTGGACAGGACGGACATTAGCCGTGCCGAGTGACAGAAAGATAGAGATGGCGGATAAAAAACAAAAGAGGAAAACGTCTGTGGAACAAAAGAGGGCTTAAAGGAACACTCCACTATTTTTGAAAATAGGCTCATTTTCCAACTCCCTTAGAGTTAAACAGTTGAGTTTTACCGTTTTCGAATCCATTCAGCCGATCTCCGGGTCTGGCGGTAGCACTTTTAGCTGTAGCTTAGCATAGATCATTGAATCTGATTAGACCGTTAGCATCTCGCTCAAAAATGACCAAAGAGTTTCTATATTTTTCCTATTTAAAACTTGACTCTTCTGTAGTTACATCGTGTACTAAGACCGACGGAAAATGAAAAGTTGCGGGCGTGTTTGTTCTGGTGATTTCAAATGTCAACATTGGCTACCAGAAATCGCTTACCCCACCTTTAAAGGTGAAGAGTGTAAAAAGACTTTGCTGGTTTCTAGCTGACCAGGTTTACTTTCTTAATTCACATTCCTGTCTTATCGTGGATGATTTATCTGTAAAAACTGTTGCAGATAAAAAATTCTGCCTTTACAATCGTTCATTAAAATGTAGTAATTTACTCTGTCTCTAAAACCACTTTTCTTTTTGGCTGACATCACCTAAACCTCCCCTGAAATTACTCCTTTTTTTATATGAAACACCCACTTTCACCAATTCCTTGATAAAAGTCCCATCCTACATTTTTTCTTAGTATTTAACTTTAAAATATGTTAAAAAATGATGTTGGAAGGGGCAAGTTGGAATTTGGGAATGTTCATTATTTTTGCAATTCTGTTTGGTGCTGCTAATGGCGTATAAATTACACTCTTCAACTTTAGTGTTTCATAGTCCATTGAGTGGTCAAAAATGATCATCTTCAGTTGTTATTGTCAGCTTTCAATGATAAGAGTGCTGCGGATAAAAGTGTCTGGTAAATGTCAAAATATAAATGTAAATCTGTAGATTGAAACACATTTCTTTTTTTTTTTGGTTTCTGTCTCTAACATTTAAAATGCATTATTAAAGGATTGAATTGATAGTTTATACATTTAGAGTAAAACGTTTAGAGTTCAAAAAAGTTGTTCCAATAAGCTTGTGGTTCAAAAATGTGTTTCCTTGCTAAGACTTCTCAAAAACTTCTCAAATTGGCATATTTGTCTATTTAAAATCACAGAGAAAAGTTGACTTCTTTGCCAGCCCATATTAAAACAAAAAATGCTTACAATTGTTTATAATAGTTTATTGTATTTTATTTTAAATGAAAATATATTATTAAATATTAAATATGTTATTTTATATTTCATTTTTTATATATGTTTATGCACTATATGTTTATTAAAATACGTAAACACTATTACTTTTTAGAGTTTAAAATACTTAATACTTTAATTTTAATTGTTTTTTTAAGAAGCAGATATAATCTTTAATTATGCATTCTTAACTTATAATTAGTCCATAAAATGCCCATAAAGGCCACTAGCATCTTCAGTGCTCATCAGCTTTATTTGTATCTGTATATTTGGTCCCACAGGTTTGTAACAGAGTTTATAAACATAGGCAATGTATCAGCTCTCCGCACATTCAGGGTACTCAGAGCTTTGAAAACTATTTCAGTAATTCCAGGTAAGCAGGGAACACGATTAGATGTACTACCTCTGTGTGACCTTTGAACCCGACTGCAACCCTGTGTCTCGACCTTCCTGTGTGTTGTATGTCTGGCAGTGTTTGATTTCCCACCCTCCATGTTTCAGATATGTAACAGAGTTTGTGGATCTGGGTAGTGTGTCCGCCCTGCGAGCGTTCAGAGTTCTTCGAGCCCTGAAAACTATATCGGTCATCCCAGGTGAGAGTTAGGGCAAAGGTCACGGTCACAGATGCTGACACTGCTTCCTTCAAGCATGTCATGTTCTTCTTTAAGTGCTTAAATAAGTATTTTTTTCAAACATTTTCCAGTTTTCTTTTTCAGGTGTTCTTGCTTTAATTTATGATTTGATGGTTGCACACACAAAAAAACAAGCAGTGATGTCTGATTCACATTGAATAAGTCAATTATTTTTAATCAGTAGGTCAAAAACTCACAAATCTTGAAATGTATCAGTTTCAATCTATGAAGCAACACCCTGAAATGCAGTCATTACTTTTGTCATACGCAGTTTGAGAACTGTTTCATTTATGTGTGCTTACGAGACTTAAATGGTTTACTAGTAAAAGTACTACAAAAGCAATAGTTCACCCAAAAATGAAAATCTGCTGAAAATGTACTCATCCTCTGGCCATTCAAGATGTGGATCAGTTTGTTTCTTCATCTGACCAGATTTGGAGAAATGTAACATTACATCACTTGCTCACCAATGGATGCTCTGCAGTGAATGGGTGCTGTCAGAATGAGAGTCCTAACAGCTGATAAAAACATCACAGTAATCCACATTTTTATTTTTATTTTTACACACAAACGTGCAGCTTTTCACTCTACTGCTCTGATAAAGAAACTAATTCATCTACATCTTGCATGGCCTGAGAATGAGTACATTTTCAGCAAATTTTCTTTTTTTAGTGAACTACTCCTTTAACGATCACTGTAATGTGTTATTGAAATCAGACCTAGATTCGTTATGGGCGAGTGTTTGCTGTTTTTGTTTCTCCTCTCCTTTTGTGATGAGTTTGTTTGTACTGTAGCCGTCTTGCATGTCTTCAGCAGTGATGTGCATGTGATACATGAAAAACTACTGTGAACTTTATCCTGAAACATTCAGAGATTTCCTCTTGTAGCATTAAGAACATATCAAATTTAAAAAAACATATCAGTGTTAACATAATCATATAAATAAAAAACACTATTTAAATACATTCAGGGTCCAAAATTAATGTAATGCATTAAATACAAACTGCTGTTACATGATTTAAGTTGAATTGTAAAAATGATAGCCTGACCCTTGCTGATGTGTTATTAGTGAAATAAATCATAAACTGAAGGAATACATCTGTCATGACTTCTAATGGCTAAATTTGGCAAAACAAGGAGTCTTCTCACATGAAGAGTCTCTCGTATGTGATGTCACAATGACCTGCACTGTTTGTCATAAATATGCATGAAAACAACAGTTAAATAATTCCATTTCAAAGTCAGAATAAAATACTTGAATTGAATTTTGGACCCTGATTACATCAGTGTAAAGTTGGAAAGTGACAAGGTTTACTCTGTTTTGCACAGGGCTGAAAACAATCGTTGGAGCTCTGATCCAGTCAGTGAAGAAGCTGTCAGATGTGATGATCTTGACTATTTTTTGCCTGAGCGTCTTTGCTTTGGTCGGACTGCAGCTGTTCATGGGAGTTCTAAAACACAAATGTGTGCTCCAGCCATCCAATCACAACTTAACTTATTATATTGTTAACAAGACAGAGGTGTGTTACCTGACACCCGAATGCAATGATTACATTAACAATCAGAGTAAGTTCATTTTCATTGTTTTGCTGAATGGAATAGATTCAGAATCTGATGCAGCTGCACTATTTATGTAACGATGATCAACATTTGTGTTTTGTTGTGAAAACTCAAATAATCATGCAATTAATTTTAGTAATATTAGAAGTACATGTAGCTGAAAATATGTTAGTGCACAATAAAAGAATATGCAGTAAGCATGCAGATATTAAACTATGCAAAACCCTCAAATGCTTTCATGCACCCAAAGGCAATTAATAGAAAACAAAAACTTGTGTTTATTTGATTTTTATTTATTTTTTTAACACAACGTAGAGAAACAAAATGACAAATTGAATTAAACAAGGCACAAAAAGCAATGTTGGACCAAGGTTTCCTACAAAAATTGTAACTGTTGGTAAACATGAATTTTGCTCCATCCATACATGCATCAGTACATCCATAAATGCATCCATACATTTATCCACCAATACACACATGCATCCATGCGTTTCAGCAGAAAGCCACATAAAATTATATAAATGAATGACTGTACAACACTAATTTACTTATTGTATTAGTGATTTAGAAATGGTACAGAACATTGAAATCATATATTATTGCTGTATGTGACAAGTTATTGCAAATAATATGGGTATCACAACATCGCGTAATCCAGAGAGACTAGAGGTTTTAGAACACCTGAAAACTTTCGATCAGGGCCGATATAAAGGCAGTGAAGAGTGACAGGTCCAGTATACTAATTACAAGTATTGTGTGTGTGTGTAAGTGATCTGTGCACCTGCCAGACAGCCAGCTGTCATCATTCAGCATTATGGACGTTTACATTAGCTCCAGCCATGAAAAACCTTTTTGAGAGAAAGAGGAAGAGGAATTCCACCTTGTTCATAGGGGGGTGAAATATGATATCTATTATAAAGTACTTTAGTGGGATGGGGGAAAGCTATCATAGGAGTGAGGTAATCTGGACCGCTGCTTGCTGAGGACAGTGCCTTCCACATGTACTATTATTCTGGTACATACACAAATTCTGCTGGCATTTTGACATTTCACTCATTTGCATGGGGCTTGGCCCTGCTCCATTAAAAAACAAAACAAAAAAAAACGTCCCATTTAATTCGATGGGTCAGAGAGAGGATGGAAAATGGTCAGTCTGTTTTCTGGTCTTTTCTGGTGTTAATGTATGACCATTTTCTTCAATATTTTTTGTTGCCAAAAATGGACCAATAAGAAAATGGTAATTTATTAAGGGACATTTATTGCACAAAAACAATGAAGAAAATGGTCATATGGTAATTTTTGTGCAATAAATAAATAAATAAAAATTACATATAAAATACATTAACAGATGAAGAATATTAAATACAAAAATGAAGAAAATAGTAATATATTAAGACTTTTTATTGCAAATGGACCAGTCTTAATATCATCATTGGCCCATTTTCTGCACCAAAAACAATGGAGAAAATGGCCATATGGTAATATTTAGTGGGGGAAAAATGTACCAGTGAAGTGAATAATATTTTATGTGTGTATATATATATATATATATACATACATTTAAAATATGAAATGACCTGTAATGAACTGAATAAACTCATGGGTTATAGTACAAACCAACTAATACACCTTAACTTTATATAAGTTTTATTATGAATGGTATTCTTTTTTTTCCTGTAGGTAACCATTATGTCCCAACAGGAAAGAAAGATGCTCTGATCTGTGGGAAAAGTAGTGATGCTGGGTAAGCTATGTGTATTGAATTATTTCATAAACCTTGGCATTATCTTCCCTTCAAACATCATTCGCCAAGAGCAGTTACACGTTTTATGTTATGTTGCATGGTGAGTTTTTGACAATTGCTGTCTCACACGTGTTCATTTCAGGCAGTGTCCAGAAAATTATTTATGTATTAAAGCAAGTCCCAATCCAGATTATGGTTACACAAGCTTTGATTCCTTTGGCTGGGCCTTCCTTTCTTTATTCAGACTGATGACTCAAGACTACTGGGAGAATCTTTACCAACAGGTGCGTGTTTTGTTTGTCTACGTAGAGGAAACCAAATTTGTATTATTACTTTTCTTTTTCGGAACACAAAAGATGTTTTGCAGACTGTTTGAGCAGTTTCTTCTCCGATCTGTTCTTCACAAAATCAGTCATATGATTTAGAATGTAGTCATATAGACTATTCTATGGTATTTTTATAGTGTTTTTTTGTCATTTATAAAATCCCCATCCACTTTCATTGTTAGGAAAAGAAGATAATCATGCTGGAATGACACAAATAGCTTCCTATGTTTATTTGACACTAATTGTGGACTTTTCTTACAGACTCTTCGGGCCGCAGGAAAAAGCTACATGATTTTTTTCGTGCTGGTCATTTTCTTGGGATCCTTCTACCTGGTGAACCTGATCCTGGCTGTGGTTGCCATGGCATATGATGAACAAAATCAAGCCACTATTGATGAGGCTTTGAAGAAAGAGGAGGAGTTTAATGCCATGCTCCAGCAGCTGATGAGACACGAGGAGGAAGCTCAGGTCTGTTGGGTGTTTTCATTAAAACGGGTATGAATACCATGCAAATGGTAACGTACAGCGCCATCAGTGCCAAAGTCACGGGTTTGATTCTTGGGAAAATGCATGCATCACTAGCAGAATGTATTCCTTCAAAGCATTTCAAATACATGAATGTAAATGCCGGAAACCTTTACAAACTGCATAAATATAATCTGTTGCATGATTGCTTGGCAGGCTGCGGCTGAAGCGTCCAAGTGTGATGGGCTCAGTGGAGAAAAGACGGACTCTTCCTCGGACGCCTCCAAACTCAGTTCCAAAAGTGCCAAAGAAAGACGCAACCGCAGGAAAAAGAGACAGCGTCAGGGGGAAGGCGAGAAAGAGGAGGATTCGAACATAGAGGGAAATGGTAGAAAGGCCAGCTTCCGTTTTACAGCTGATGGAAAAATCCGGCGCTCACGTGAAAGGACTTGCACGTCTCCACATCAGGTTAGAAAAAAATCTTTTTTTTATCATTTGATGCTTATTTTACCAATAAGGAAATGTCATTTGTTTAAATACAGAAGACAACTGTCATATCAGTGTTTGTGAAATCAGAATAATTATGGAAATGTCTTATTGCGTACGTGTGATATTATTACAGTTTTAGAATAGTACTGGAAAGACAAACTTTGACATTTTTTGATAAATGAAGAATGAGGTTTGAAAGGTGTACAGGAATGATAAATAGATGGGTCTAATTTACATATCTGATTCATGATTTAGAAATGATACTGAACATTAAATATATTATTGATAGACAGATAGAAAGTTTCTACATTATTCAGCATTAAAAATTAATTTTATTTGATTCTGCCCCCCTCATTCTTTCAACTATCTGCTTGACTCAAATCTAAATTATTTTCGCCTCCTCGTTCGTAACAAATTCATGGATTTTTTTTTTCCATTTCTTTGCTTTGAGAAAAAAAAACTTCATCTCAACTTCATCAAAACTAAAGACATCTATCAACTTTCATTTATTTTTCATCTTCTCACATTGTCATCTTTCTCTTACGTCATTGTTCTTTTTCATATTCAGCATAATCATCAACATCATCTTCATCAAGATATTCACGATTTTTGCCACTTTTGTTCTGTTCTGCCATTGCTTGTCCAATTGATCTGTTGCTAGACTCATAATTTTCTTTAAAATGTTTAGATTAGATTTGATGTTATTCTTATGTGGGCTGAAATTTTGAATTGCAAAGCATCACTATCTGCCATTTTTCTTTAAAGAAATTGCTAAATTATGTAATCGCATGACTAAAAACTACAATTAAATACACAGATTGCAATTACAATATTTTTGGATCATTACTGTAAAATTAACAAATTAATTTAAAAACACAGGATTTCCATGAACTTACACTAAAAAAGAGCAAAAACGAAGGATGATAACTTTAGCTATAACTGAAGTTTTAATAATCACTCCACGTCCACAGTGTTGTTTTTCCAAATCATAAATAATAAAAACATTGACAACCAATCAATTGTCATGCATTGGTGTGGATGCCTATGTAGTTATTGCTATAGTTATATATGATAATAAGGCGGACAGTTGCTAAAGTTGGATCGGCAAATTGTTAAAAGTTGTAAATTGGGATATCTTCCATCGGTTAGTCAGGTTACATCCTCATATGCCTTAATTTGTTTGGCAGTGTATTTGTAAGGCTCTTTTTTCTCCTCAGTCCCCTCTGAGTTTTCAGGATTCAATCCTCACCCCACGTCGGGACAGCAAAGGTAGCATCTTCAGCTTCCGCAGGCGTGTGCATTCAGAAAACAACTACGCTGACGACGAGCAAAGCATGTGTGAGGAGACGGGCAGCCGGAGAGACTCTCTGTTTCTACCCTCTCGATCCGAGCGGCTTTACAGCACTCTTAGCAAAAGCAGTCTGACGCCGCGTATATTGTTGCCGTCTAATGGAAAAGTACGGTACGTGGTTGACAGCAATGGCATGGTGATAGTGTCGGGCGGAGCGTCTTCACCCAACTCGCCCTCCGGAATACTGACGCCGGAGGTGTCCAGAAAAAGAGCCATGTTTGACGACACTTGCGTAAGCACATATAATGCATGTGCTGTTGCTGTGGTGCAATGCTTCATTTTAAACTGCAGATTTTTATTATCATTCTCTCTCTATTAGGGGTCCAAGCACTGAAGGTGTTGGAACCCTATTGTATTTGTACTGATTATTTTCTTCTTCTTATCACTATTCTTTTTCTGTCCTAAAAGTGTCTGGCCAGACAAAAACGTAAGTCCTAGAAACACCAAATTTGGCAGGATGGTCCCAAATCTCCTCCACTACTCAGGTGCACACAGATCCCGGTTGGACCATAGGTGGCGCTATAATCAGTACTTTTACGTTTTTTCTCATATCTCCGCAACCATAAAGGTTACAATAAAAAAAAAACTCTGATTCTCTGAGACAAACTGAACAAAACATACTGTATATCGTACTAAACGTACTAAAATATCTCTTTTTATTGCAGTAGCCTAAATATTGCTGCCTTCAAGTGTACTCATGCCAAACTTCATGAATTTCTGATGCACTGGGTCATCGTTTAGAATCGCATCGTTTAAAATCTGTGTAATGGTTCAATAGATTTACTATGCATAACATTCATTATAGTTTCATAGTTTGAAGTTTAATAAAGGCTAAAACAATCTAAGTCTAATCAGTTTCCAAAGAAATCTGTGATCTCCAAAATACCTTCATATATATATATATATCCTAAATTCAGTGTCAATGTCATGTCAAGTTTTTGACATCAGTTTGATTTGCATATTTGACATGTTTTTTAGGTCAATTTTGATGTCAATTTGATGTCTTTTCAACATTAATTGCCCACTGGGTTGTGCTTGGACCCCGATGATTGCCGCTTGCGGCTATATTTTGACATGAATCTGTGCACGTTTTTGTTTTTTATTTTTTGCTAACTTTGGGTGAAAATCTGCAGAATTCTGTGGGATGAATTTAAATATGTAAAAAAAAAAAGCTGCATAATCAAATGCAAAATATGTATTTTAAAAAAAAACATGAAATGGCAGGGAACTTATGAGTGATCAGATTCACATTCTGCAGAAATCTGCAGAGATTACTGTGGAAGTTCATTGCATGCAGATTCTGTGTGTGAGCATGCAAATCAAGTTGTGACAATAAACAATTTCAATTGTTTTCCAGGATGACAGCATATCATCAGCGTGTAAAGACATAAAATGTGCAATATTAAAGTTACTGCAACTAATATATATTTTGGAAATCGATTAGTTTGTCAATTATTTGTTCAATTAATCAATTAATCATTAAAAAAGCAAAATACACATTATATCCAGCTTTGGATTCAAAGCTTGTTCAAGCATTTGTTTAAAGCATGTTACTCTGCATAATGTCTTTTTAAAAATTAAATTGTAACTTTTTTTACAACTTTTTAAAACCTTTGTATTTTATAAAGCATTTCATTGTATTGTATAAACATTTACAATGTCTTAATATTTTTAATATGTACTAATATGTACTACTAGTGGCATTTAGCACAAACAAAGGCATTCTCAAAGTGGTTAAAATGTCCACTGGAAATAGCACTGGAAATGTCCAAAAGGAAATAGCAGTGTTTGCAAGGCAGCAAAAGAATTGTGTTAAACGAAGGAAATTGAAATATATATGATATATATACATACATATAAATTGAAACATGCAAAGACCTTTTAAGTAGATCCCCCAAAAATCAGAAGTTTATGAAAAATAAGATGTTATGTTTCAAGACATGTTTTGTAAATTATTTATTTTGTTTTTAATTCAATTTTTTAAATTAATTTTTTTGCCACATTTCTTGTGAAATATCATTCATGCCTGAATTCATTCAGTTGAATACAAGAATGATTGACAAATAGCAATAGATTGCTGCATTACAAACACTAATGAAGCACCATCGTAACATTTGTTGATGTATTTGCTGTTGATTTAATCCCTTTACAGTATGACACAGATGAAGAATCTCGACGCCGATGTGATTCAAAGAGTTATTCAAAGGCTTTTCTATATGACCAGTCAGTGAGACAGCGAGCTTTGAGCGTCGCAAGTGTCAGCAACAACCCTACTGACTGTAAGAAACCCTAAATGCCAAACACACTTAGGGGCCGTTCACACAGAATGCATTTTTTCTTTGAAAAACGTGAGACTCTGGCAGTGGAATGGGGGAAAAATGCAAGGTCTTGTGATGCAAAGTTGAAATTATTCTTATTAAGGAAAAGTAGTGTATTCTGTGTGAACAGCCCTTTACAAGAAACTCAATGTGAGATATATTTGTTGGATTTTTCTCTGTACTTTTAAATAAATAGTTTTAAATAAAGTTTTAAATTTTAAACCTAAATGACTTTTATTGCTTTGTAGCACAAAAGTTTTCAATATCTTCTCAATACAGGACAATCTTTTATAATAAAATAATGGCCGAGGCTGTCAAGCTTCAAAAAATACAAAGGAACCATAAAAATCAAATATTGTTCATATGACATTTTCCCAATATTTAAAGTCATATGATACCTTTGTTTGAGTAATAGACCGAAAATGAATGATGCTTTTATTGTCTTCTTGAAGTTTGACAGCCTCATTTCTCATTTACTTTCATAGAGGCCCTTTTTATTTTTCACAGAAGAAAGATGAACTGTTCTTTTGATCAAGTGCTTGTTTGCTCATTTCTGTTTGTTACAAATGTTGCCAAAATTCATACTAGTTCACATACAGCTTTCAGATTGTCTTTATTTTTTTTTCACACGGCAGCGTCGGAGGTCTGGAAACAGAAGTGTGTGGAGTGCTGGTTCGAGTTTGCCGAGGATTATCTGATTTGGGATTGCAGTCCCACATGGCTGAAGATAAAGAAAATTGTCCACATGGTTGTGATGGACCCCTTTGCAGATCTGTTTATCACCATTTGCATAGTGATAAACACAGTATTCATGGCCATGGAGTATTATCCCATGCAAAATGACTATGTTTACATGCTTTCAACTGCCAATGTGGTAAGAACATTTGTAGCAGCATTTTAATGACTATGAAATGCCCTCATGTACAATATTTTGAGGCTTGTTCTGTTATTCTAGAAAGAGTTACTGTTATTAGTGTGCAACCCCACTGAAATGGAGGAGTGTGAATTTACTAATTAAATTTATATATGAAAGTGTTAAAACGGTATTTTGAATATAAGAATATAAGACACTTTATTTGTATATACGTTTTCTCAAATGATTGATAAAAGTGATCAAGAAATCCACATTACATATGTAATGTTTTTTATTTCAAATTTAGTTAGTAGACAGCTCTAGTTTTGTAAAATACTTTTAATAGGGTGACTGAAATCCTATTTCTCCTGAAAATATCCTGGCCAGGATTTCTAAATTGCCTAAAACAGCGGTTCTTAATCCTGGTCCTTGGGACCCCCAGCTCTGCATATTTTGCGTGTCTCTCTTGGTTAACACACCTGATTCAAATCATCGGCTCGTTAGAAGAGAGCTCCATGAATGAACTGTGTTCTGATTGACAGGGTCCCTACACAGTGTTCACTGCTCTCTACTCCCTGCACACGGCAAATCGGCTAAAGTTTACTTCACTTAAGAACACGGATTTGCGCTACACCACTGCCTGCAGCGTCTTCACACACAGACAAAACTGTGAAGTGAAAAGTGTGAAGGGTTATTTAACCGTAATCATTGAGATTTGCATAGTAGTCACGTCTCGCTCACTTTAATGCCCTTTAAATGGAACATATCCTTTCGAATAATATCCTGTGATGTCCACTTCGCAGGGCACTTACGGTCGAATGGAACAAACATCTGAAGCGATAAGAGAAACATACAAAATGTGCAAAGCGGGAGGTCATGAGGACCAGGATTAAGAACCGCTGTTTCAGGCAATTTAGAAATCCCAGCCAGGACATGTCTGGGAAAAAGAGGACGAGTGGTCCCTCTACTTTTATGTTTTTAATTGTCGTCTTACCTACAGGTTTTCACAGGTACAATTTATTTATATACAAAACAAAGTGTTAAAATTTTCTCATAAATGATTGCTAAACGTTAATGACTAATCAACATATGCAAAGATTTAATTATACATTTAGTCAGTAGATGGCTCTAGTTTTGTAAAAAAAAAGTTGTTCTTTTAAAAGTTTTAATTATTCCTTGCCTTCAGGTTTTCATAGGCATCTTTGCAGCAGAAATGATATTCAAGATCATTGCGTTGGACCCGTACACTTACTTTCAGGAAGGCTGGAATATCTTTGACAGCATCATAGTCACACTGAGTCTGCTGGAACTTTGTTTGGCAAATGTGGTGTCTGGAATTGGTTTTCTTAGGCCATTCAGACTGGTAAGAGTATCCCACTGTCATGCTTTACACCTAATGGCTCTAAAATCTATATAACTGCATATAAGATGCGCTTTACTATACGTAATGTTGTCTTCAAAGTTACCTTCTCTTGGCCAAGCAATGCATTTTTATATTTGTTAGCATATTAAATTTAAAATTTTCTTGAGAGAAATGTTGGGGAAGTCGTGGCCTAATGGTTAGAGAGTCGGACTCGTAACCCAAGGTTGTGGGTTCGAGTCTCGTACCGGCAGGGATTGTAGGTGGGGGGAGTGAATGTACAGCGCTCTCTCCCACCTTCAATACCACGACTTAGGTGCCCTTGAGCAAGGCACCGAACCCCCAACTGCTCCCCGGGCGCCG